GTGGAGGGAAGGGAGGATGGAGAGGGGAGGGAGGGTGGAGAGAGAAGGGAGGGAGGATGGAGAGGGAAGGGAGGGAGGGATGCTTTCCCCGTAGATGTTGCTCTTCCAAAAGTGTAATGAGTCGAAAAACACTATTTGCACACACTCTGCAGCACTTGCCAAACGTTTAGAGATTTTGAGTGTTTCCTTCTTGTGTACTATATATACACACTATATACACACATATATGTATGTACTGTATGTATGCAATGTGGAGATGTAAGGAAGGGAGGGAGAGGAAGAGGGGGAGTACAATTATGTATGTACATGTGAGACTATAACTAGGTTACGATTTTCTAAAGTTCCGGTGTTCCTTTGACATCGCTGGCAACAAGCCAGCTGCATTGCCCCGCACAACTCCATAAATGATTTATTTTCTCCCTCTCTCTCTCTCTCTCTCTCTTTATTCCTCCCTTCGTCCCCATTCAGTGGTACATTCCGTGCGATGCTCGATATGCGCCCGAAAACCAATCCTCTGCTTCAGGTAAGCCACACCCACCCAATCTAGTAACCACGACGACAACAATCGCAATGATGTCATCTTTTACGACGGTAGTGTAGACCCACACGCCATAGTTCACAGGTCAGTGAGCAGGCGACTATTATACTCCATCTCCTCAGCTCGTGTGCCAGCGATGAGTGGAGTTTTATAAATATATATTCAGTGGGAAAGCGGTTACAGCGAAGACTTTATCGCCAGTGCATATGGAGTTTATACTACATCAGACCAACTGTTTTTATATGTTCATAACAGGAGTCGTTACTGTTGTTTACAGTAACAGCTGAGAGTTGTTTATCTGCATGGTATTGATCCTCAGTGTTGCATACAAATTGCGGTGTGCATGGCGGTTAGGTTGTGATTTCCAATGTTTTGCGGTGCACGCGCCCATCATTGCGCTTCACTCTCTCACTCGCATACAAGAGCAAAGTGTGTTTTGCCTGATACGCACCACGCTCATACAGTCAGAGCCGACAGATCAAGGATTCTCACACAATGGTATAATGTGAATTTGCTTACACTAATTCGTTCTTTGCTATTGCTATCATCAAGAGCGAGGTGTGGCGGGCGTTCCAAATGCATCGATGTCAGGGATTTACTATGCTTCCATTCCTATGACTATGCGCAAATGGCGCACCAGCACAAACGCAAACGATACACACTTTATAGAGTACTTTAATAACACACTTCAATACATGCCACAAGAAGCAATGTACGCGTGTCAATCTCGTCTGATGTTATTATGGTACATTACATAACCATATGACATGACTTTTGCTTACTGTCAGGCAATTTGTGTGACTAACACTGCATTTGTGCACTTTTTGAACTCCTCTGTCTGTATATACGTACCTGTTCCACATTATGTATCTGAATCTTGAGTGACCTCGCTCTGATATCATCCATTTCTAATGTTCGCTTATGTTTGCGATTAACGGGTCGCATATTGCATCACAAATAATTGTGAGGTGTCAGTGGCAGCAGTTATCTGGAGTATATTTCCCAACAAAGTAGGCGCGCGTGGCTCTCGGTGACACTACGTGGTGCATCACGCAATCGATCTCACTGGGCTCGTTTACTTCACAGTTACCGAGTTTCCCTGAGGAGCCGGCGGTCGCGTCGTGACGGAAGAGAGACGCCCATTTTCATTCAGACCTTCTTCCCGAGCCAGCCAGAGTAACAGCAGGTAGGGGGTGTGGCTGTGGGGAGAGGGTTAACTGATTACAGTGGAATCCTTCTCTTAGATGTATATACATGAAATGAGGACACCTCTCTAAAAACGACACTTTTATTTTCCTCAAGAACAGTTCTTGCATGCACTGAACCTCGCTAATGGAGACACTTTCTTCTGGCCCATTGGTGTCTGGATTAGCGCGTGTCTCTCTCTCTCTCTCTCTCTCTCTCTCTCATCTCTCTCTCTCTCTCTCTCTCTCTCTCTCTCTCTCTCTAGGAATGAAGAGACAGATACTGCGATGGCTGCACTAACAGACCTGTTAGTTATCTCTCTCCCTCCTCTCTCTCTCCCAACACTCTCTCTTTCTTGTTCCTTATCTGTTGGTAGTTTAGTTTTTCATTTCTCATTCTCTCTCTCTCTCTCTCTCTCTCTCTCTCTCTCGTCTCACAGAATGACAAATTCTCATAAAATCAACCCAGTCATGAAGTAAGTTGGGATTACTAACAATCATAACATTATTATTCAGGAAATCTCTCATTAATCAGGACACCTCACTAATCAGGACACCTTGCTAGTCAGGACACCCACTAATCAGGACAGACAATTTGTCATTTGGTTATCAGCTAAGCACCATCTGGCCTCCAACCACAGCCACCCATAACTAGGACAAGCCCAGACCATGCCTGAAAACAGATGACATTCAAATGCCCGCCATTTCATTAGCCTAGTATTAATCTACATACAGCTAATACAGACATTAGTGGGATAGAATAAAGTGTCCATATTAGTGAGGTGTCCGTATTTTAATGGCTAACTTACGTGTTGTTGGACACATTCAGTCGTCTTTGTCTGACATTAATTTTGTCTGATGTAATACGTTTATTTTATTGCTAGGTAATCTAACTATGGCAAATAGCACTGATTTCGCTGCTAGTTTAGAACGTAATTCTAACGACATCATAATGTTGTGGTGGTAACGGCATTCCCCAGTACAAATCGTTTACAGCTGAGCTATAGCGACACCCTGTGGTGATAGGATTTACAAAAATTCAAAACTTCCGTGTGAAGTCTGACAATATTTTGTATATGCAACTTGAGATGAACCACGGTAGGGTATTAGTGAGGTGTTCGTAGTAGGGGTTAAATTGGTGAGGTGTTCCTAAGTAATTCAGGGGTTAAATTGCACGCAAGAAACTGTTCTTGGGGAAAGAAAGGTGTCCTTAATAGACGGGGCAGAGCATTGCTTTATTCAGTACCGAAATGATAAAATGGTATATGTATTTAAGACTCCATGGTGATGTTGTAGTTATGAAATCCGAATTCCCACAATACTGTGAGTACACGTGTATTGTCTGGGAATCAGTCGCAGTAAGGCCTCTATTGTGGGTGGGGCTTCAAGTCTGTGTACTGAAGTTTGGTGGGAGAGTGTGACTGCCTCAATTGTTTGTTTTGGTGGCCGTAAGGCATCAAATTACTGTTTGTTGCCCACTATTTACCACTGTCCCACGAAGCAAGTGTTCCCTACTGTTAGTAGGCCAACTAAAACACTCTTTCGTGTTTACTATAGTGAGCGAATTAAGCCCAACCAGTCGTCTGAATAGCGTGATTTTTTCTGCATAAATTGCGCTCGCCATACCACAATGCCTTATATAATCCCTCTCCTCTCTCTCCTCTCTCTCTCTCTCTCTCCTATCCTCTCCTCTCTCTCCTCTCCCTCTCTCCCTGGCAGTGGAGCAAGGAAAGGCTCTCACTCTCCCGCCATTATTAGAATCGGTTCGGACGGCAAGCCCGCCTTCTCCTCTCCATCAAAGAAGAAATCGCCCCAGCCAGCGAAAGAAGTCCCGGTATCCCACACCCTTCAAACGTCTCCTTCTCGCCGACTCAGCAGTAACGCCAGCGGGTCATCTTCACCAGATTCCCTTTCCTCTGGGGGTGGGGGGCCAGGGGCCAAGTTTTCGTTTGAGGGGACCCGTGTTTCCCCCCGGGGGCCGCACCAGAGTGGAGAATCAGTGGGGGGTGGAGGGCGAGGGTTGAAACACACGTCTAGCGACGGTACGGTTGGCATGGGGACCGCAGGAAAGAACAAGGATTTGTCTGAAGTGAACAAGTAAGTGTTGCAAAGTGTTGTTGCTAGGTTTTACGCTTTGTGGCGTTTACACATTCATACATAGCCTCCAAGTTAACTCTAACATCATCTGTCTCCAGCAGAGTAAAAATACGGAAAATCCGTATACTTGGAGGCACTGCACGTTGCATGTTTCCTGTCCATAGCAGTACTAATACTCACTTCCTGGGGTCGGTGTAGCTGTACATGTGTGGTCTGTGGTGGAATACTATCCTAACTTCTGAATACCTTAACTGGGGCTGGGTGTGGGAAGCCTGTCACATGATCCCGGTCACACTCTCTCCTTGCCTTTACCACCACACACCACACACACACACAGCCATATTGTCTGGAGTGTATATATACGTAAGCTGACCGAAGAATGGTAGGAGTATGGGAGGAGTACAGGGCAGGGAAGGAAAGGATGGGGGGAGGAATGAGAGGAGAAAGGATGGGGGGGGGGGAGGAATGAGAGGAGAATGGGTGAATGAGAGAGTCTTTGTCTAATGCCCCATGACTATGTTTTGACTTGGCCACACATACAACAGCATGGTGACTAGCTCCGGAGGCATAGTGAGAACTTCCTGCATGCAAAGTTTGGTCTAAACAGTAATGCCTGGAATTTGAATCACACATTCTTTCCTTCTGTCTATATACTATATAGTATAGAACCCCTTTAGTGCAACGTACTCTGCACCCTACACATGTAGTTAAATAGTTATGTTTGGCATTTCAAAAATGAAGTCTACATTATGGACAGTGAAGTTAGTGATTTTAAGGTATTTTTGCAAAGCGGAGGAATTGACGATAAAAAGGGACAGAAAATGGCACATGGCTAGGCAAGCAGTAGGAATTGACGATTTTCGCAGAAAGGAAAAGAAATCAGCAAGATTTTCATTCACATTTTGGATTTAAACCCTCAAAAAAATGTGTGAAGTTGCGTCAACGTTCCCCTCTCTCTCCTGCTGCAGACGACTGAGTATGGAGGTGGACCGGATTCTGATGGACCTTCCTCCCCCCTCCCCCTCCGCCCGCTTCTCCTCACTCCCTCACCACGGGCACCTTCGTCACTCCTTCTCCGGCGGACTCCTCCCCCTCCGTCGCCGTGACGACCGCAGTCTCCAGAGCAACCTGGAGGGAATTCATAAAGAGGAGAAAGAGCTGAAGGTTAGCTAGCGTATTTCAGGACAGAAATCAGTGGTGTCCTGATGATCAGTTGTCATAATGTCCTAATGAAGTGTCCTGTAGCATTAGTTGTTTGATGTTGCACCCGCTGTATATATGTACAGGTGCAGGTATCACAGTTGACTGACAAGAGGGAGAAACTGTCCCATGAGCTCCAGGACCTCATCTCCCAGGTATATACTCTTCCTCCTTCTTCTCCTCTTCCTTCTCCTCCTCTTCCTTCTCCTCCTCTTCCTTCTTCTCTTCCACTTCCATTTCTCTTCCTCCTCCTCCACTTGTATTTCTATCCATTACAGTTTACTGCTAAACACTTTCCACGAAGATATTCGCGACGTCAAACCTCAAATGTTGATAATTTTACCTCTCCTCCGTCTCCACAGGTCCAGCAGATGCAGGTGGGGTTCCAGACACTGGGGCGTGGCTCCCAGACGAGGTCCTGGGGCCGCCTCACCAGCCCGCCCACCTACCACACCCGCTCTGACTCCGCCCCAATCAGGTCTCCCTCCCCCACCTCCTCGTCTCCGGAAGAAAACTCTCTCCCTCCTCTCTCGGAGGTGAGCCCCGAGCCAGCCGTACTTCGCAAGACCAGCGAACCGTCTGAACGTGGGCTGGACGGATATCGCCCTCGTGTCTACACTCCAGACCTCGGCCGGTCCCCATACCATTCTGGGTCCACATTCCACGACCCACTGGCTGAATACCACCATCCCACCACAGGCCCCGAGGAGATTGACACTGCTCGAGATGCCAGGCTCTCTGTTGCCTGGTAACAATTGCTGGGGTTAACTGCTGCCTAGGTAACTGTTACCAAGACTACCTGTTCCCTGGTAACAGTTGCTAGTATATACACACAGCCCAAACTTTTGATCATGAAAAATACTAAGAAACATTTTGCATCTGAAAGTGAGTTTTACAATAATCATACTTAGTTGTCATAAAAACGAGATTTCATCTTTTGCTGTGCACGCTGCCATAATTAATTTCATTTTTGCATCAGTTTTTTCATTGACTTGTGTTTGAAACAATTGATGATTACAACAATTTTCGGAACTCATCGACATACAAACAACAATCTGTTTATTTCTTGGCTTTCCCCCATTGCCTGAAAGGAACAGCGAGAGGGAGAGAATAATTAATAACAGTTTGTCTAACAGGCGAGGGAAATAAAATGGCAGCGTAATGTGTCTTAGGCCAAAAGGTTGTGTAAGATGAAGAGGGAGAGGGGAAAGATGGAAATGTTGCCTTACAGTTCGTCGAGGTCAAATGACCGCAGGTTCAACATGAGATTCTCAGAATTCAGGTAGATCCTGTTCTGAGACTGGGCAATCTGGAGTGGTACCGGAATGGGGGAATGACAGAATGGGGTTGAGATAATGGCAGTACAAGGATTTGGAATGTACTACAATGGGGAAATGAAATGGCAGTAGAGGACTGCAGGTATGCGGGCATAGGAATAGGAGTGGGGGAATGGAAGTATGGGAATGCATAGATGAGGGAATGGGAATGAAAGTATGACGGCATGGGAATCCAGGTATGAGGGAATGTGAATGGTGGTATGACGGCATGGGATCCAGGTATGAGTGAATGGGAATGGTGGTATGATAGTATTGGATTTCAGGTATGAGTCAACGACAGTATGGGGCAAGTATGAGGAGCTCACAGTGTGGGCGATGGCCTGAGCAGCTCTGATTTTCCTAAGTTTGAGGTAACCTGGGTTCACCTTCATGGCCTTACCCAGGTGAGAGATGGAGTCAAGAAAACAATGATTTTGCCTTTTGGAGAAAGAGAGAGAGACTGAGACTAGATTGATAGAATAATAATGCAACTGTGATGGACAACAGACAAAGAATTCTTCGTTGTGCTGAGATTGCTGCAAGAGAGGAAGAGAAAGGGGAACAAGGGAGGAAGGAGAGAGGTAAGGTGTGTGGGGATATCATTCTGGCAGCCTCGGCCTCTCCCTCAGCCCTGACAATTTTCTCCTGCTTCTCCTGAATAGCTTGCTCCACATAGAACTGGGCTCTCTGGGCTTCTTGCTGAGCTGTGTGTAGAGAGAGAGAGAGAGAGTGTGTGTGAGGAAGAGGTACAGTTGGAGGGGGAAGGAGGGAGAGTTCAACAAAAGAGTTGTCGACCCTATAGCAGGATACTTCCCAGGGAGAACATTTTTAGAACATTCGCGGCCGATGAGTGAAAATTTTTCCAGTTAAAATTTGTAGGCAGGGACGTATAATTGAGGGGGGGGCAACAATCACCGAGAGTAAAGTTGCATTCGCTACAAAAATGTAGTTTTCTTCCTTTGACCATTACACCGTGCCCTAAAAGTGGAGTTGAACTGACCAACTTGCTTGGCCTCAACAGCTGCGGTGTACTCTCGTCCAAAACTGAGGTCAGTCTGAAAAACAGAGACACCACAAATTGACCACACCCCCTGATGATAAATCGCCGTGGAAACTCACAATGGATACATCGTCGAGGATGATACTGAAGTCCTTAGCTCTCTCAATGAGATGGTCTCGAATCAGAATACTGACCTGCGGAACAGAGGAATGGGAACATGAATTATGGGAGAATAGAGGAACGGACACATGAATTATGGGAGAATAGAGGAACGGAAACATGAATTATGGGAGAATAGAGAGTGATTATTTGAAAGACCTTTCCTCTCTGTGTGATGAGTTGCGACGCATTGAACTGTGCCACAACTGACTTCAATACCTGCAGTATATTAATAATGATGACATCATCTACAAAAAAAACCTAGGGGAAACCCCTGGTCAACTCACCTCGTTACAGATGGACGGCAGGACTCGGTCGTCGTAGTCGAGGCCCAGTCGGCGATACAGGTTTTGCAGGTCAAACTGGTTTGGGCGGAACAGAACTCGAAGTCCAATGTTGACCATCTGCAGATCTTTGCTGCCCGTTGGTGACGTGAGGAGTTTCGGCCGTGCTCTGATGTCATAGATTATCGGATAGTGGAACCACGGGATCCTGGAAGACATGGAACAGAGTCAGGTGACTTGGGGGTGTGGTCACGTGAGAGTCACGTGATCACCTGAAGTGGAGTCCCTCTGCATAGAGTACATTCCCCACGCCACTGATTCGGCTGAAGATGATTGCTCGGTGACCACCCTCAACTGTTGTGGGCCATGGGCGGGGCAACAAGGTCAAAGATCACAAAACCACGCCCCTCGTATACCTGTATAGACGCTCTGTTGAACGCCGAAGCCCAGCGCGCCCGCCCCAAGCAGCAGGCCGGCTCCCCACGAGACTCCTCCGGGCATCCCGCGTCCTCCTCCTCCTCCTGACCTTCTCAGAATGTTCTGCAGCTGTTTAGCCATCTCCCTTTCCTCAGCTTGCTCTCTGTTACTCTGTTACACACACGTGTGTGCAGTGGTATGCGCAAGGTGTTCCACGCACCTTTCAAATTCGAAATTTCGCGAACTTTGACCTCATCCAGCGTGTGGCCAGTATCATCACGTCACAGCCTTTTCTCCGTTCTCTCCACTACACCACGAGAAGGAGACGCCACAATGCCTCTGCGAATGGACGTAAAGGTGAGCGTCTTTCTTTCTGGCTATGCACGCTGCAGCAACCGCTTTCCTACTCGTACGCTGAAACGCCGTCAAGTGTATGACGGGCTCTATTTAGAAATTTGACGAACGATGGCTAGTGCGACGTCCTCCCATTCTAGTTTATCTCTCTCTCGCAGCGGAAGCTGCTGGCGAGGTCTGACAGGGTCAAATGTATGGATCTCCACCCGAAGGAGCCCTGGATGCTCGTCTCTCTATACAACGGCAACGTACACATCTGGAGCCATGAATCCCAGGTGGGTGTGGCTGCGTGGTCTCAGACTCACATTCTCATGGCAGTTTGAAGTCGTAAAATTTTGTCTTGTCTTCCTTTTTTTTCTAGACGCTGGTTAAGTCATTTGAAGTGACAGATTTACCAGGTAAACTGGCAAAAAACGTAATTTTAGATCGGTTTCTGTAACATGGTGTTGAATTTAGAGCTTTCTCTTTCTTCCCTCCCTCTCTCTCTCCAGTTCGAGCAGCAAAGTTTGTGGTGAGGAAGAGCTGGGTGGTGACGGGGTCAGACGACATGTTGGTCCGAGTCTTCAACTACAACACTCTGGAGAAGAGTCATTCTTTTGAGGCTCACACGGACTACATCCGCTCCATCGTCGTCCATCCTACCCACCCCTACATACTCACCAGCAGCGGTAATATTCTCTCTCTCTCTCTCTCTCTCTCTCTCTCTCTCTCTCTCTCTGTCTCTCTCTCTCGCTCCATCGTCGTCCATCCTACCCACCCTTACATACTCACCAGCAGCGGTAATATTCTCTCTCTCTCTCTCGCTCCCATCCTACCCACCCTTACATACTCACCAGCAGCGGTGATATTCTCTCTCTCTCTCTATTTGCTGCTGAACATTTTAGGGTTAAAGTTAGGGTTTAGGAGGGAATTTAATAGTTGGAACCACATGTTTACCCTCTCCCCTCCAGACGACATGTCTATAAAGCTCTGGGACTGGGAGAAGAAGTGGCAGTGTAGCCAGGTGTTCGAAGGCCACAGCCACTACGTGATGATGATTGTCCTCAATCCAAAGGACCACAACCAGTTTGCCAGTGCCTCTCTCGACAGAACTATTAAAGTCAGTCCACCCATCATCCCTTTCCCTCTCCTCCCTGTTCCCTCTCCTCCCTCTTCCCCTTTCTTCTCTTTCTCTTTCAAAAGACAAAAGCTAGCAAGGATTCCCCTCCCCTCCCCTCCTCCCTCCCAGGTGTGGCAGCTGGGGTCTCCCACTCCAAACTTCACTCTGGAAGGCCACGAGAAGGGTATCAACTGCGTCGACTATTTCCAAGGTGGAGACAAGCCTTATCTTATCTCTGGAGCCGACGACAGGTACTTCCCCTCATTACACATTCTGATGACATCATACATAGTCCTTCCGATGACAATAAATTTTTTAATTTTTAAGGATTTACTTCTCATGTACTGAGCTCTGTCGATGATGTCATTCTTGTTCTGAATGATGTCATCGTGATATACAGGTTGGTAAAGGTTTGGGACTACCAGAACAAAGCATGTGTGCAGACATTGGAAGGCCACGCCCAGAACGTGACTGCGGTTGCATTCCATTCCGAACTCCCCATTCTCATGACCGGATCCGAAGATGGTACGGAACAGAGACCATGTCAGTCACTTTTGTCCTCCACCCCCTCCCCCTACCACTAGGAACCGTTCGTGTTTGGCACGCAAACACCTACCGCCTGGAGACGACTCTCAATTACGGTCTCGAGAGGGTGTGGTTTATCTGCCAGATGAGAGGCTCGAACGACGTTGCCATTGGTTACGACGAGGGCAGCGTAATGATCAAGGTACACTGTATATACAAATTATAGTATTCTTAGCTGGAAAAATGGTTGAGAGTTAAAACTTTTGTAAACAGTTTTTCTCTCGAAAGTTCCCTGCTATTCAACATCAGTATCTTACGACATCATGATGATGTAATGTCATGTGACCTGTTGCCATGGCAGCTGGGGAGGGAGGAGCCGGCGATGAGTATGGACAGCAGTGGGAAGATAGTGTGGGCGAAGCACTCGGAGCTCCAGCAGGTGAATCTGAAGGTCCTGGGGGAGATGGAGGTGAAGGACGGAGAGAGGCTGCCGGTGGCCGTCAAAGACATGGGCAGCTGCGAGATCTATCCTCAGAACATCTCTCACAACCCTAATGGACGGTAAAGTGGGGCTTTTTACCTACTGCGATTTACATAATAATGAAAATGAAAAGGTATGAAAACCTGTAAGAATGAAACTGGGCTACCAGGAGATTTGCGAAGTGTCCTTCTGCAAAGGTTTGCTATTGACAAAATATCTTCCCGCTACCAGTATGGGGGTTTAGACTGCTGCTAGGATGTGTATAGCTTAGTGACAAAATGTTAATTAAGCGGTTGCCATGTCGACAGGTTTATGGTGGTGTGTGGAGATGGAGAGTACATCATCTACACTGCCATGGCCCTCCGGAACAAGAGCTTCGGCTCCGCTCAGGAATTTGTGTGGGCGGCCGACTCCTCCGAGTGAGCCTCCTAAAATTAGTAACATTACATCACCTGTATGTATTCTGCTAAAAATAAATATCCATGTTACTACCTGATAGAGCTAGAGCTAGCAGCGTCGCTGGTTGAAATAGCCACACAGATTACATCGCCTTATATTATGCTAAAATTAGTCCAAGTTCTGCCTTCTAATTGTGCTAAAAATACTGTCTGGATTTTGTCAGGTATGCTATTCGAGAAGGGACCTCGCGTGTCAAGATCTTCAAGAATTTCAAAGAGAAGAAGTCGTTCAAACCGGAGTTTGGAGCCGAGGGGATTTTCGGGGGACATCTCCTCGGCGTCACCAGTAGCAACAGTCTCACTTTGTATGACTGGGAGAGCCTGGAGCTGATACGGAGAATCGAAATCTCCGTCAAACACGTAACACTTCTCTCTCTTCCTTCCCTTCTCTTCTCTAAATCCCTACCCCCAACTTTCATCTTTCCCCTATCTCACTCCAAACTGTCGTCTTTCCCCCTATCTCACTCCAATCTTTCGTCTTTCCCCCTATCTCACTCCAAACTGTCATCTTTCCCCCTATCTCGCTCCAAACTGTCGTCTTTCCCCCTATCTCACTCCAATCTTTCGTCTTTCCCCCTATCTCGCTCCAAACTGTCATCTTTCCCCCTATCTCACTCCAAACTGTCATCTTTCCCCCTATCTCACTCCAAACTGTGATCTTTCCCCCTATCTCACTCCAAACTGTGATCTTTCCCCCTATCTCGCTCCAAACTGTCGTCTTCCCCCTATCTCACTCCAAACTGTCGTCTTCCCCCTATCTCACTCCAAACTGTCGTCTTCCCCCTATCTCACTCCAAACTGTCATCTTTCCCCCTATCTCGCTCCAAACTGTCATCTTTCCCCCTATCTCGCTCCAAACTGTCGTCTTTCCCCTATCTCGCTCCAATCTTTCGTCTTTCCCCCTATCTCGCTCCAAACTGTCGTCTTCCCCCTATCTCGCTCCAAACTGTCGTCTTTCCCCCTATCTCGCTCCAAACTGTCGTCTTCCCCCTATCTCACTCCAAACTGTCGTCTTCCCCCTATCTCACTCCAAACTGTCGTCTTCCCCCTATCTCGCTCCAAACTGTCGTCTTTCCCCTATCTCGCTCCAAACTGTCGTCTTTCCCCCTATCTCACTCCAATCTTTCGTCTTTCCCCCTATCTCGCTCCAAACTGTCGTCTTCCCCCTATCTCGCTCCAAACTGTCGTCTTCCCCCTATCTCGCTCCAAACTGTTGTCTTTCCCCCTACATATCTCACTCCAATCTTTGGGCTTGTGTTTTCCCTACTGTACGTATCTTTCTCAAAACTTGTCCCTGTCTCTTCAGGTCTACTGGAGTGATAGCGGAGAACTCGCTTGTCTGGCTTCAGACGACTCGTACTACATTCTTCGCTACCATGCCGACGCAGTCCAGGAGGCGACGTCGACCAATCAGGGAATAGACGAGGATGGAATCGAGGCAGCTTTCGAGGTCAGTGGAGTGGAGACAGAGAGGGGAGAGATGGGAAAAGGGGAAGAAGGGAATGCATGGGGAAGCAGATAGTTTTACAGCGAATAAGGGACATCTTGGACACATCGAGAATGTCTTTTATTCAGAGGTGTCTCTTGTTCTGAGGTGTGAGGCAGGGCCAAGTGTCCTTCGTAGAGAGATTTCCTTTATTCAGAACTCTTTTCAGAGGTTTTTTCTCCTCTCTCTCTTTTCCTCTGCCCCTCCTCCCTCCTCTCCCAGGTGGTAGGTGAGGTGGAAGAGACAGTGAGGACTGGTCTGTGGGTGGGGGACTGTTTCATCTACACCAACTCCGTCAACAGGATCAACTACTATGTCGGAGGAGAGATCGTCACCATTTCCCACCTGGACAGGTGTCACATGACAGTCACATGACCACGAATCAGGAACACTAATTTCGAAACTTTTAAACTACTCCACAAATTTTCAATTCACATTAAGTTTTCTCAGTTGAAGGTTTCCTGCTATACATATGAGTCACATGACCTGTCACATGATCATGTGATGAGTCACATGATTCGTCGTGTGTTTTGTTGTGCAGGGTGATGTATCTCCTTGGCTACATTCCCCGTGACAACCGACTGTATCTGGGAGACAAGGAGTTGAACATTGTCAGCTACAGTTTGCAACTCTCAGTTCTCGAGTACCAGACCACCATCATGAGGAAAGACTTTGACAGCGCTGACAAGGTACAATGCCATACAAAATGGTTGGAACAATAATTACACAAATTGGTTTAAAAACTATTAAAATTTTACTGCATTAACATTTTCGGGTGGCAAGAATGTGTTACTAATTCGAGGGTAGTGTGAGAAATGAAAAAACTGAGGCAAATCGAACAGCGAAGATGAACAAAACTCCTTATCATAGCCCCATACATCTATGATGCTAGGTACCATGCCCATCCCTATATACTAAGTACTACCGTACTTAGTGATGACTTGGTCAAACTAATTTCTCCTCGCAGGTGCTGCCGACCGTCCCCCACGACCAGCGAACTAGAGTTGCACATTTCCTCGAGAAACAAGGATTCAAACAACAGGCCCTCGCCGTTTCCACAGACGTCGACCACAAGTGAGGTCATCACTGGATCATGTGATCCCTCCTCTCATGTCATGTCATGTGACTGTCACATGCAGATTTGACCTCGCTGTACAACTACAAGACCTCGGCGCTGCGTATGAACTCGCAAAGAAAACAGAGGTGATAAATAATAGAGTAATTTAATTATCAGACTCCGCCCACTGTTGTCTTGGTAACAGAGTGACGTAAAGTGGAAACAACTTGCCGACATGGCAACTGGGCGTGGTCAGTTTGGCCTGGCAATGGAATGCCTCCGACACGCCCACGACTATGGGGGCCTGTTGCTATTGGCAACCAGTGCAGGTGATGCGGAGACACTGGGGAAGGTGGGGGAGGAGGCGAGGGCTGGCGGGCACAATAACATTGCCTTCATCTCAAACTTCCTCCTGGGACAGCTCGAGGAATGTCTGGAGATCCTCATCTCCAGTCAGAGGTTGCCCGAGGCCGCATTCTTCGCACGCACGTACCTTCCCAGCCAGATCTCCAGGTGAGACCCGTTATGTAACGTTGTGTAACTAAAGCTAAAATGTATGCAAATTTTTTGCCTTCAAGAATACCTACATATTATGTGCTGAAACTATTCACAGAACTGTAGCTACACCATTGCAGTCATGGTGGCTAATTACCAGATTTAACCTGTCCTGAAAAACTTGTCCTGAAAACTTGTCCTGAAAACCTGTCCTGAAAACTTGTCCTGAAAACTTGTCCTGAAAAACCTGTCCTGATTCGACGTGTCCTATATAAACAGGGTGGTTGGACTGTGGAAGGAGAAGCTGGCAGCGACCAATCAGAAGGCGGCACAGTCTCTCGCAGATCCGGCGGAATACGAGAACTTGTTCCCAGGGCTGCAGGAGGCTGTGAGGGCCGAGCAGCTGCTCAAGACCGAGCGGTCCCGGCTCCTGCCTGCCAGTGCCTTCCTCTCAGTTACCGTGAGTTACGCAACACATCACAGGGGGAGTGGTTTGTTTCAGGGGGGTGGGGGGAACCAGCGAATTTTGGGGGGCCAATGAATGCTAGTTGATACAGTGGACCCCCTCTCTAAGGAGCCATGACACCCTGAAATAAGGAGAGCTTTTTTCTTTTCCCAAGAACAGTTCTTGCATGCAATTTCAATGAGGACCCTTCACTAATATGGACAATTTCTGGTGTCCAATCACCACAATTCCCCCTTCTTCTCCCAGAACCCATGTGATAGGAACATTCTAGAAGAGTTGAGGTCAGGCCAGTTGGGCTCTACCCCGCCCCTCCCTGCCGAAGCCACACCCACAAAACAAGAGACCACACCCACTCCAGATGACGAGGAGGGAGAGGACTTTGACCTCAACATTGACGAGGATTTGGATCTCGATGATTTGGATCTGAATGCAGACGTGAGTTTTGTGTCGCAATTTATGTATAATCAGTGATCAAGTGTCCTGATGGACTACAATCGAAATATGTGGATAATTTATCGATTAATTAAAACCCTCTCCACACCAGGAAATAGAGCTCGGGGAAGAGGGAGATCTGTTACAAGACTGACGTATGACCCAGGACGTTAGCTGAAAGCCTCACTCACATAATAATATCAAACAATTTGTGGGTTGCTCCTCTAATAATTCTTTGTTTTACTAAAATAGAGATCATCATTTTCTGTACATATTATTGGTTCCAACGTATAATTTTTTGAATGCGACAATAAGTGTTTCGAAATTACCTAAAAACGTTATTTTTTAGCTAGCTGCTCGTTATTCTCTTGTAGAAGTACAAATAGGCGTGGCCTATGGGTGGGGCTGCTGACTCGGCAACTTTTTCGTCGTTGAAGATGACCCATCGCCCTGGAAACAAAACAAAAAGGGGTGTGACAATCAGGACAACCATCATTCTCAGCCAAATGCTGCATTTTATACACGGAGACAATCAATTTTTTCTAGCAATCTGTGAAGTCCCATTTTCGCACGTTTTCTCCATCGAAAGTAGTATCTTGCTTGCTACTTGCCGTCATACATACATACATACATACATACATACATACATACATACATACATACGTGTATGTAACAATATACCTTCTTTCTTGATGTGACAGACGTAGTGGCCACATAGTGTTGAGGTACCCATGTGACTGATGAACGCATGGAGTCGATATTCTGTGTGTGTATGAGAGAGAGAGAGAGTGTATGAATGAAGAGCAGTGTGTGTTATATACTCACTGCCTGGTCCATCTGGACACTTTTTCCTTGCCCCAGACCCCGCCTCCTCCGTTTCCATGGCGTCCAGTTCGTCGGTGTGGCTAAACACCCAGTCGGCCGCTCGCTCAACGTTGTTACCCTGGGAATGACAGGGGCAAGGGGGGAAAGGGTGGGATCAGATCGAAAAACAATCTTTCTTCACTCACCGTCTCCTTCAGAGCTCTCAATGCATGATCTCTCGTGAACCCTAGCGACATCACTATGGCAACCGCACCTTCGTCTGCGCCAGCACTGGTCGATGGTGCGTTGGGTTGAGGTGGAGTGAATGGAGCTGAGAAATCTGACAGTTTCCAGAGGATTACAAGGGATTACTGAAGATTACAGCAACACAAAATGGTTTACTGAAGATTACTGGAATATGCAAACAGACATGAAGTTTAAAGGGGTATGCAAAGATGAATATGCAAAGGATTACAGGAGTATACTGACCGGGATCGCCCATGTGCTCCAGCACCCAGTTCATTGCCGGCTCTACACCTGAGAAGTGAACAAAATACTTTCTAGAATTTCCGCCATCTGTAAAAGTATCCTCAAACGATGAGTGAGGCGATCAATTTTGAAATGCTGAGGTCATGAAAAAATGGTCCTAGACTTATTATACAGATCGAGTTGTGTTTCTATACTTGAATACTGTGAGTATCAGTTGCAAGAGGCTTCTAGGTTACCTTGGTTACCTCGGTTCTTTGTGTGGAAGACGGCTTTCTTGCAGCCTTCAACGTCGAATCCCATGGATACCAGCTGCATAACAATACCCTCGTCAATCTCCACGGCAACCGGTTCAGGGTCGGTGGGCGGAGCATCACCCTCGGGGAGCTCCTCCTCGTCGGGCTGTAGACCACGCCCCCTTAACGAGGTTATGTCGAGTTCTTCGGGAATGCCAACTATTTCAACATCTGAGGATTGGGAATAGTGGCAGAAAGTTCTTGAATCGGGGGATTAGAGAAGTTGGCGAGAGGGAAGGAGAAAATGGAGGGGGAAGGTGGAGCAGACGTGGTGAGCAAAGAAGGCAAGAGAGATAGATGAAGATGAAGACAATGGAGTAAGGGACAAGAGGGAGAGGGAGAAAAGAGACCATATTTCTGGGGTGTCCAGTCATCGCCGATGAAGAATCTGTTCATTTGGAGGATAAGATACTCTGGAAAAGTAGCAAAACGACTCGTCCTAGAGAGCAGGCAAGAGAGAGAGAGAGAGAGAGAGAGATGTAAGATGTTAATGGAGTGAATCCCCAACTTGCTGGCTAGTGAAATTTCGTTCACAGCAGTGCTGTAGAAGTCACTTAGTTCCACGGGAGACTCAAACCTCATCAGACAGGCTGCAAACGGCACTTCCGCTCTTACTTCATCCTCTGGCTTTCTATAATTAGACCCGTGTTCTATTTTTAGTAGTGATTACATCATATCATACTGACATTCTCTCCTTTGCAGCTCTAAGCTTTGCCTTCTTCTTGACCCACTTCTTGTATTGCGCTACATATTATACAAGATTGTAAACAAAAACAACAACAAACGTGATTGCCCAACACATAGTGTTGTCATAGTGATGTTTGCCCCTACACTTATTAGTTGCGTCGTCAATGGAAACGGGAAGTCGCCAAACACTGTCCTCCCTAGTGACGTATCTGACCTGTCCCGATTCCATACACTGGATCCGCTCCTCCACCTGGAATGGAATGGAGACAGGAAAGGAATGAAATCTGTGATTGATAGTCAGTGGAACCCCTCTTGTTAAATTGCATGCAAGAACTGTTCTTGGGAAAGCATTAGACAAGACTCCTCATTTCAAGGGTGTCTACGAATGAGCACATGACTGGTGGCAGGTCTCCATTCCATACCTGGAACTGGAACAGGGACACGAGGGAGAGAGAGTCGGACTCTGCCAGGGCGCGGTCGGTCCTCTGGATGGTGGCGAGGAGATGGAGGAGGAACTCTGAGGCGTCCTGCTGTCTGTTTGAGCTGAACTCAACGTGACCTTTACCGATCAGCATCTTGAACATGGCCGCCCTTATACCTTTCTGGGTCTGAGGAGGAAGAGAGGGAGATGGAGAAGGGGGAGAGAGAAGAAAATTAACACACCCTATACACCAATGAAACTCAAATCTTATAAACTTCTCTGCATTTAAAGAGGCACATGGGGCACGAGAGACGTAAGGATGGATTTCCACTCACGTTTGTCTGTTTGTTGTTGTCAGCTCCTTCATTAGCCGGCTCGTCAGTTGGTGGCTTTGAGTGACGTCCTGAGATAAGACCCACTGACAGCTTACACCTGCAGCCACAAAACATTCATCGAGCAGAGAGATAGCGAGAGAGAGAGAGAGAGCGAGAGAGAGGAGGCGAGAGCGAGAGAGATGCGAGTATAGACGCTAGAGAAGAGAGAGCTGAGGAGAGCGAGCGATCGGACGCTCATAGATCGATCTCTCTCATCTCTCTCTCTCTCTCTCTCTCTCTCTCTCTCTCTCTCTCGCTCTCTCTCCTCTCTCTCTTCTATATTTCACTTGGTGGATGACTTGGTGGATACATTGTATGTACAAATGCATTTGTGTCAAAAAGTCACGTTTCCACGGCCACGATATATACACAATATAAACACGAGGCAAAGTTGCATACAACTTGCAAATGTAGACCAACACAACATGTACGTTGCATGCAATATATAGAAGTCATTCACAAACACACACACAATCCAAATTACCCACATTTGCATGGTGAAGTCATTGTTGGCTACAGGAGGTCCTCCAGCCAACACTTCCTCTGCCCTGGCATAGTACCTGAGACAATGAATGAAGAAATTTCACCAACAGAGACCTAGTAACAGAGGAGCAACTGACAGAGGCAAAATTCGCGATAAAAAGCGTGACTCATAAACCTCCCGATAAGGGACCCTCCGAGATAGGGACGACTTCTCTACACAAGGGACGAAATCATTGATCCCATAGTGTCCCTTGTTCGGAGGTTCCACTGTATATACTCCAAAACAAAGACGCCCTCTCTCTCACCTCTCTCTCTCCTCTCTCTCTCTCTCTCTCTCACCTCTGTTTGAACTCATCGAGAGAGAAAAGAACCTGAACTACGGAGTTGAGGTAGCAGGAGTTTCCTAGGTTCACCAGTCCGGTGTAACCTGGTCCGTAGCACGGTGTCAGCTGCTGGCCCGCCTCCTGGATGATGCTCCAGTCACTCAACTTCATGTTGGCCTCGATTTCCAGCTCTGTCATGGTGGCATCCGTCTGGAGAAGGAGAGGGAAGGAGGTGGGAGACCATAGAGGAAAGACAAGAGAGAGAGAAGATAGAGGCAAGGGCAGCAGATAAATTAAGTCTAGGAGCTTCCGCAAAATGCTTACATATAAATTTTTTATTCACACCAAACACACATTTACAGCTATGGGGTCCTACATTGAAACTAAGAACAAGGGTTGTAGCTATATATGCTAGTAATGATAATTACTACATACTGCAGAATGAAAGTAGAATTTGTCAAATGAGGTCATTCAAACCTTGGTCATGGAGGCAATGTTGATCCCGAAATGCTGCAGGTGTTGAGCCAGTTTCGGGTCTTCCACCATGTCGTCCTCGGCGTAGGAATACACGTCTCCTCCTGCAGAGGTGATGGTCCCGAGCTTCACGGCCAGCGGGTAGCGATGTCGCTCGTAGTGTTTCACGGCGTGATTGTTCCCCCCGGAACCGTCAAAGTAGCGTCGACCGCACAGAATGGATCCGTCCGTCAGGTTAAGCCATAGATTCGAGGTGAGGTCGCATTTCTTGCATTTCCAGCCCGACGGAGGGATCCTGACGCCGTTGTTCACTTGTCGGAGGTTCTCTGCGTGACGTGACACGGGTCTCTTGTCTCCTTCCCACGCCACAACGGCTTCGGCTTTCGAGGCTGTTGGAGCCGCCAGTACACCTTCCACAACTTCTTTCATCTGTTGTTCAGAAAGAGGTGGAGAAGTACAGCTGTAAGTTTTGCTCTGCATTTTGCAACCTAATGCTTAGAACCCCTCTCTCCTGAAATAAGGACACCTCTTTAATAAGGAGACCTATTCTTTCCCCAAGAACAGTTCTTTAATCCCTGAAATAAGGACACCTCTTTAATAAGGAGACCTATTCTTTCCCCAAGAACAGTTCTTTAATCCCTGAAATAAGGACACCTCTTTAATAAGGAGACCTATTCTTTCCCCAAGAACAGTTCTTTAATCCCTGAAATAAGGACACCTCTTTAATAAGGAGACCTATTCTTTCCCCAAGAACAGTTCTTTAATCCCTGAAATAAGGACACCTCTTTAATAAGGAGACCTATTCTTTCCCCAAGAACAGTTCTTTAATCCCTGAAATAAGGACACTTTATTTTGTCACATTATTGTCTGGATTAGAGGAGTTCCACCAATTGTTATTTTGTTAGCGCACCTTTTGAGGCAGGTCTGCGTTCGGATAAGGAACAGCTGCTTTTGTTGGCATGACGACGATCTGGTGAGACTCCGCCCACTCCACTTCAGGTTCCGCCCCTCCATCGAACCCACCCTCCACTCCCAGGGCTAATCTCGTCGGCTTCTTAGCGGGAGGGGCTTCCCCCTCAGGCTGGGGGGCAGGGGGCTGCAAAAATTAGAACCCTAGAAACCTGATCTGTGATAATAATTGGTAGGAGTTTCACCTTTTTGGTACGAGTTACATGAAGATAGAGCGTTTCTCCAGTTTTCTGATGATGTAATGATAAATAGTCTGGCCCAAGGCCAACAAAAGAGTTGAGGCTAATATACAGTCCCCCTTCACTCTCCTAGGATCACGTGACATTACCTGAATACGTAATCATTACGTAATAAGGACCTACGGGAGTTTGAAACGAGTAGATGCACTCGTCTTTGTAGACCCGATCACCGCCGGACGGCGCGCGCACTTTACTAAGGTCTGCCTGAAGAATGGCTTCCATCTCTGCACATCCAGCTCTTCCGGGGATAGAGGCAAGAAACAGCAATTATCCTTTGACCTTTGGACCGGCGCGCGCCACGAGATCACGTGATGTCCGCAGCTGACCGCGCCACGCCCCTTTATTGACTCTGCAGACCGGCCCGCCGAAGCTGGAAGACGACGGAAAACAGACGCTAAAATACACAATAAGACACCACCAGCTGAGAGGGAGAGAGGAAAGGCCTCGCAGGTTCCCGAGGAGAGACGATGTCGGTTCATCACACTCTCCTCCAGAGACGAGCAGGCAGCCACAGTCAACAGGGTTCAGCCGAGGACAAACTGCAGATCGTGGTGTGCTGGGCGGGAGGGAGAGAGCGGCGTGCCGTGGGTTGTTTGTGGAGGCTGATCAGAGCTAGCTAGCTGGGGCTTAATACACTTCTTCATTT